CATCCTTGGTAAGGGCTGAGAATACAGACACAGAGAAGTCAAACCAACCCCTCGGTTATGGAGCTTTTCTATGCGGGAGAAGGCAGACATATATTGCACGTCGAACCTTCTTAATTTGTACCAAGCCACCTACAAAATAAGTGACGGAGAGGTATTATTTTTTATATCACAAGCATCTCCTCAGGCTTCAACAAAAACATAAGGATAAAATTATAACACATTATGCAGCCAGTTGGGATACGGGAAGAGGAATCTACATTTGTTAAGTCCCTGCTCTACTCCAGTAGCTGTGAGCTATGTTTTACTGATACTCTCTCATTCCCTGCAGTAATGCTATGAGCTGAGCTTTATTATGTGCCATTTTGCAGATGGATAAATGGAAGCTTGCAAAAGGCAACAAGAGGGTTATTACGCTCGGTGAGTTGGTATGTTATCAACAGCATTCTTCATGCCAGGAACGGGCTGCCTAAAATGCTGGGCCCCCTGAGGTGAGCCACGCCCCGGGCGCTGCTCCCATCTAGAGGGGAAGGTGGACAGTGAACGAGAGGTGACGGTGCTGGAAGCACACAGAAGGGAAACCCCCCTCTTGTGAGGCTTAGGGAAGCCCTCGAAGAGGAAACACATTAAAAGCAGAGATCTAGAAATTTGCATATTAGCAACACACCAAGGAGGGGTGCCCCAGGTGGAGCTGCTTCTGCAAAGGACAGGGCGGAGCAGGGAGCCCCGAGGAGAAGAGGGAGACCAGAGGCGGGGCAGGGCACTGCGATCGAAGCACAGGTCACATTATGGATTTGGACTTGCCTGCAGAGTGATTAAGAGGCTCTGAAGGAGCTAACTAAGCAGGAAAGTGACGTCACTTTAGAAAGAGAGTGCTTTGACTGCTGGATGGAGAAGGGAGAGTGGGGGGAAAGACAGGAAACCAATTAGGATCCTGATCCAGCCTCCTTGGTGCGCGTAGCGGTGGTGATAAGGACTGGAATGAAGGCAGTGGAGCCAGCAAGAAGCAAGAAACTTTTTTTTTAGGGATCCCAGGATACTTCCCAGGTGTGTGCCCTGAGGATGCGAGTGCCTGGTGGTGCCATTCTCTGACCACGGGAGGAGGCGAGGACGCTGCCTGTGCCCCAGCCGCGCTGGAGCAGATTGAGGGCCTGTCAAAAACATGGGGAGTAACCTGTGGAAACAAGAAGGGACACTTGGGAGAATGGGGGTAGTTCAAAGTGAGCTGAAGCCCCAGTGCAGGGCAGGAGGGAAGCGAAGGGAAGGGAGGGGCCGGGACGTGAAGAGGAGTGGCTGGCCACACTCACTCAGGAAGGTAACCCAGGGGCAAGGGGGATCAGGTCTTAGCCTGCCTGAGTGAACCGAGTCCTCTGGGGATTCTGATGCTCCTTGCCTGGGTATCAGGCTTCTCTGACCAGGAGGAGAGAAGAGCTCAGACCCCCTCTTGAGAAAGCACAAGGAGTGGTCCACCTCAGGGCACCATGTGAGAATGGCAGGTGGATGTGGTTTTATCAAGGTTTTCTCTCCCCCAAAACTAATTTTCCCCAGAAAGGAATGGAGCGTGTGGGAGGTGCCCTTTAAGCCTCCACTTCTGAAAGCATCAATCCTCAGTTCGAGTTCGTACCTTTATCAGGGGCTACGACGGGGCCCCTTAAAAGGCGAGCATTCCCTACCCCCCACTGCAGGCATGTCTTTTTTGGCTAGAATACCCAATTTGAACAAACAGCTCTCTGCAGGCTGTCATCTTTATTTTTTTCTTTGGGATGTATCTAGCTTCAGGCCAACTGTGCCTGACTTTTTCCCCATTCGGACCATTCAGTGGAAGACACAGCGAGTGAACAGGGCCCAGTAATTGAGTGCCTCCTGTCTCCATTCTGGCTTTCTGATCTCTCTTTACCCAAGCCAGTGGCATCTTGCTTGTGCACTTCCCCCTGAGTGACAGATTCTCTCTTTTAAGATTCCAGCGCCTGATTCCATCCGCCATCCAGAGCCTGTGTACTTTGGAAAGCCTGTGGGAAATTCAACAGCCTTCTAAAGATATAGATTACCTGCACATCTGTCAGGGTTTAGTTAAACATGACTGACTAATTTATCCTGCAGTGTGAGATGGGGATTCATTTCCTTTGCAAGTTGACTTGGCAATTTTCTCTGCTCGGAGAACGTTTAGAATAGATGGTGTGCATGGCAATTGAGAAGAAATAGATGCTATTAATTTTCCATTTTCAAATGTGAGATTGACTCTAGAGCCCACATCTCACTCCTATCGGGAAAACAGACCACATCCTCTCCCTTATGAGCTGCTTGGCATCTGAGAAGTCAGAAAGGTGAGCACCTATCCCAACGTTCCAAGTTGGGACCCGTCCACGTGTCGGTGTGAACCTGCCCTCTCCTTGCTGTGTGTGTGGCTTAGTGTGAGATGCAGGCTCCTGGCTTGAGCAGGCATGGGATCTTCTTCCTCAGCCCATCTTTAAAGACCAAAGGGAAGGAGTAGAGGTAGAACATATCATGATGAACCTCCAAAAAGTTGGAAATCCCAAGGGATAGCTAACTTCATCCATTGTTATCTGGCACAGAATTGTGCTATGATGGAAACACTCTGTGTATGATTGCGTATGGCGTCCCCAGCCATGTGAGCACTTGGAATGGAGTGAGTGCAACCAAAGAACTGTCTTTGATTTATTTAAAAAATGTTTTAATGTTTATTTTTCAGAGAGACAGAGAGACAGAGCATGAGTGGGGGAGGGGCAGAGAGAGAGGGAGACACAGAATCCGAAGCAGGCTCCAGGCTCCAAGCTGTCAGCACAGAGCCCAACGTGGGGCTCGAACCCACGAATCGCAAGATCATGACCTGAGCTGAAGTCAGATACTTAACCGACTGAGCCACTCCGGGCATCTTTTATTTATATAAATTAGTGTTAATATAAATAGCCACATCTGACTAATGACAACTGTATCCATTGCAAGTATCCATGTCTCCCAATTTCTTATGTGGCCAAAGCCAGTTTTGTTGAGGCACAGTTGTCGTGCTGGTTTTCTGCATGCTGCGATGTTTGCTTTAAGCTTACCTATAAACCTTCAATTTAAAAATAATAGTAGTGGCAATTAAAATCATAGCACATGCTGAACAATTGTTATGTACCATGTACTTTGCTAAGCACTTTACATACTTGGTCTCATTTATACTGACTTAATGATATCCTGGGTTTACAGATGAGGAAGCCGAAGTGTGGAGAGGTTGTGACTTGTTTGAGCCACCCAGCCAGTAAGTGGTAAAGCTGGGATTCATTCCAGGCACTGTGAGCCCAGAGCTGCTATACTCTGCTGCCTGAAAAGACAATGCTTAGTGCCATTTCCTGGCCAGTGGTTTAAGATACGGTCACGTCCTGGCTGTTGAAAGGAAGGCTGAGTGTCTTGAGGTCCTTACTTATGTGAGTATAAAGAGGGCATCCCCTCCATGCTTTGTAGAGTGTAGATCTAGATCCTGGCCTAGAATGAGGAGCACAGCTATGAGAGCAGTAAGACTCTACTCACCTCACCTACAGCTATGAAAGCCCCCTCAAACGGAGAGTCAGGGAGGCCTTTCCCACCTGGGGTCTGGGAAGTTTGGCTCTATTCCCCATCAAGCCCCAAATCTCAGGCTAAGGAAAAATGGGCTTTCCCGAGAGCAAACATGGATTCGAAAAATGAGGAGAGGGTCTGAATGATACTCTTCTTTTCTTGTGGAGGCAGGTGGAGGCTCTCTTTAGTGAGAGCTTGCACTGACTGAAGGCAGGACTGGAGTTTTGGCAAGACAGTCTACTCATTCATCATTGCCCCATTGCCTTCTGGGGGTGACCCTGGGGTATTTTCTGGGATCTCTCTTCACTGGTAGAGTCCAGCTGTAACCTGCATCCTGTCAGCTCCACAAGATACTCAGAACTTGGCTTTGCCCTATAATGGTGTTTAGCTTAGCTTCTGCACTGTCTGTCCCTGTAGCTTTAGAATCTGAGAAAAGTGACAGTTGTGGGGTTCGTGTCTTTGTCCCTTCTTACTGAGGGTTTGGCCCCTCAGGTCTTGAATTTCTGGTGCTCCAAATGTGAATGGCTGGTTTTTCTGCCTCTTGGAAGTGCGCCATTGCCTGGACCCTTTGTAGGAAGTCTCTATACCCAGAATTAGGGTAAAATCTGGGAGGGAGGGGAAATCAGCTCCCTTTCCCACACCATTGTTCCTCCTTCATTGATTTCTTCCCTCAAGCCTTACTTCAGCACTCCATCAGACCTTCATAGAACCTGTACCCCACCGTCTGTCCGTCTGTCCGTCCATCCATCCATCCAGGTTTTCTTCTTGTTCTCAGAAGGAGTATTCCTTGGCCCCAGTTCGTATGCTGCACCCTAAAAGATGAGCCTGATAGTTAGAGATGGGCTGCAAGAGAAAGGACACTTGCATGGAGAAGGCATCCATCTCTCTTTAGGGGAAAGTCAGCTCAGTCTGCCAAAAGGCTAGCAAAATAGGCCACATGCACCAATCCCAACCTTGGGCTAAAACAACATTGATAGTCTGCCATTACTGGGATCTTTTAGTGTTCCAGGCAGCCTCTCACTAAGGACATTGGCTATTCCCGAGTTTTAATCTCTCTTGGCATGAATTTAGTGGAAAATGTGGTCTCTGGCAAATTGCAATAGCAAGTTTTATTGGGTTAGCAAGAAGGATCTTTTGGGGTCTTTGGAGACTGGTGAACAACTGTGAGACCGTTAGCATTTGCTTTAACAGCTCTGAGGCAGCCCAGATTCAGTTCTGAACAGTGCTGCTTACCAGGGGAGTCTAGGCTCTCTGGCACGTTCCTTACCTGTCATTGCTGTATCTTTGGCCTGTTTTCCAAGTGGGGGTAAGGAGTTGTGTCGTGGTTGGAGAGGGAGGTTTGTTTTGAGCGTGGCTTCGTGGATGGCATTGTATGTTGAGGGCAGAGAGCTAACTAGAGGAGAAAGTCCATGGATTCACTGTTTGTTCCATTTGCTTTTCTGCAGCCTGCACAGACAAGGAGTTGAGGAACCTTGCTTCCCGGCTGAAAGACTGGTTCGGAGCCCTTCATGAGGACGCCAACCGGGTCATCAAGCCCACCAGCTCTGACGCAGCCCAAGGCAGTAAGGCCAACTTTGCTCTCGCTAATTTATTTCATTTTAAATATCACATTCCCTTAGTTACTAGATAGTATTGATTTAATGGTTTTTTAGAGTAATCACAGAAACATTATGTGAAATGTACAAAGCAACTTCAGGTATTTGCTTTAATTCCAAAGCATTTCCCCCTCCTCTCTATAACATCTTATATGTTTTAAAGTCTGGTCACAAAATTATAATACTTTAAGTATAGAGATTTTGGAAAATATATTCAGTGTGTATAAAAATAAAAAAATCCACCATTTTAACAACTGTTAGCATGTTGTGGCATAGACTTCTAATTATTTTCCTTGCCATAGAGAAGAAAATCTAGGTGTCTGTATATGTATATACACACACACTTCCCAGGTTGTTTTATGACCTTTTATCACTTAGCAGCATACTATAACCTCCTATGTTGTTGAGTACTATTACACTTTCTAATAGCTACATAGATTCCCAAGTTATAGATACAATTTATGTAATTAGACCTGTATTTTGGAGTGTTAAAGTTGCTCCTAATGTTCAGCTACTATAAGCAACACATATGTATCATACATCTTTGATAACTTATCTTTGTGAACGTTAGACGGCATTTTGTTTTCCATAGAAACTCCCAGGCAAGGGTTCCCCCTCCCCACCAGTGAATTTGCAGAGCCTGTATTCAGAGCGTCATCATAAGCTACAGAGAAAACTCAGAATGGGTCCGCATCTTTGTACCTTGATGGACTCTCTCCCTGCCTTGAACTCAAAGGACATTAGGGGTAGTCTTCTTCAGTTGGCTCAGAATGTCTTCCTCAATAACACACGTGTTCCCATATGTGGAGTTTTGCAACTGTTGGGATCCAAAGCTGAATCAGCCTCTGGTCTTTGGCCAAAATCAGAACGATCACCTTCATTTTTGGTTATTCTTTGCCGTTCGTAGCTGTAGATACTGGTAGAGAATACTGACATAGAGGACACTTGTTTAACTAGTTTGGATCTTTTATTTTAAGGGAATGGTGATTTCTGAGAAGTAAACACTGAAGTGTCCAAAGGGTGATTTCAGGTGGCTGAGTCTGTGGGAAAGAGGAAGGAAGAGTGATTTTTTCCATTCCTGCCGGAGGCTTCCTTGAGAGTTAGTGGACAATTAATGCACAGATGGTCTAAAAGAACCTTTCCCTGGGATCCACGAGGAGCAGCTGGGCCCTTGGGCTTTCTGAATAACCTTTCAATGAAGAGCAGATTGATGTGAGGAGAACTGTTCCTTGCAGCCTCCAGTCCCAGGAGACTCCTTCCATAGACAGCTAGGGAGCTGGCAAAAGACCTGCCCTTGGCCAGAAGCAAATTGAGTCCCCAAAGAGGCTCTTAGGTTTGATGTCCTGAAGCAGTGGCAGTGAAGCGAGTCTTCAGGAACCACAAGGCTGCAAGAGGGAGAGATGTTTTTTTATCAGTTCAGGACTTCTGAAGAGGAAACCATGGAACCTTATAAGTCCCCTATTCTTGGGGTCAACTAGAAGGGCTGCTGTCTTTCCCTCTTCATTCCTCAATACCAGGTGTGGATATCTTTTCTCTAGTATCTTCCCACTGGGTATGGAGTGGGCTTGACCCACTGTCCAACCGGTTTGGCACTTCTCTTTGGTGGTCATTCAGCAGGGAGCCCCTCTTTCCCATGTATTAAAATACTAATATCCTATAATGTTGATGCATATTACATACAATATTCTATATATAACTGTGGAGCCATTTAGTGTCAGAGTTAATGATCTTGCTTTACTCAGTAGCCCCTAAGGACATCCTCATCATAGAGACTGTTCAATCATGACCTTCAAAGAAGAGGCCACATTATGTCCCCTAATGTCTCTTAAAAAGGGGGATGTTTTCTAAGACACGTTCTAAGATATCAATAGGACTAAATTTGAAAATTGACTTCTGTGTCTAAAGGAGTAAACTCTGCAGTAGCTAGAGAATTTCTCTCAATAAATACTTTTACTGAGAACTTACTATGTGCCTGCACTGGTGGAGGCTACTTAAGGGAACAAAGCAGTCTTTGCCCTCAAGGAGCTTAGCATCTAATGGATATTCACTGACATAAGGGGAAGCAGAGGGTTCGTGAGAGCTCAGAGGTAGGGGTGCTGTACTTACTTTACTGGTTCCTAGACAGGGAAGACCTCTTTGTAAAAAATAAGGCTTTCACAAAGGTGGGTGCATTTTGCTACGTTTCATATTCTGCAGGCAGGGGTTGGTAATGCACATAGAAACCTGATGCGCAGGGAATGGGTGGCCGACGCCATCAGGATCTCAGTTGTAGTCACCGTATCACTCCCTTGCCCTGCCCGTCCTCAAGCATGTGGCACCCAAGCTAACTAGAGGTCCTCAGGGTAGGAGCATCACATGAAGTAGAGGCAGCCCTGGGAGAAGAGGGACAGAGAATGTAGACTCAGGGCTGGGCCACCTGTGTTTGAAGCCCAGCTCCACAATTATATGACCTTGAGCAAGTAGCTTAAGCCTTGAGCTTTTTTTCTTCCATCTGTAAAGTAGAGAGGATATACCATTTTATAGGCCTATTAGAAGGGTTGAATGAGATGATTAAGAATAAGGTGCTTAGAGGAATACCTTAAATTACACAAAAATGAACTTTTTTCATAATTTTTCCTGGGAATCTGAAACCACTTCTAGAAATCCAGCTTATGGAATGACTTGAAATTGCATAGTGCTTTTGATTCTGACAGAAAGACCAATTTTAGATTTGGGGCATGCCTTCTCTGGGGGTTGTCTACAGTAGATTCAATATCCTGAGTGTTAAGCAAAGTGTTATTATTCTAGGGCGTACAGTTTCCATTGTGGAAACAAGTAATTCTTTAAGAAAACTACCCCCCCCTCCCCCAGGGAAATAAGAAAGAAATTATTGTCTGACTCAATTTGGATTCCATATCATGTATCTCTTGAGGGGACTGCAGAAAAGAAGAATAGGGAACAGAAGCAGGTACCTGGCTTGTTTTCCCATTAATGTTCAAACGGCTTGGATTTAACAGTCCTTTGGGACATAATCAGTGCTTCTGGATTGTGCTATATAGTTTCATTTCACTGCCATCATCTTTTTTTTGCAATAGTTTCTTTTGTTTTGGTTCTTCACATATTTTCCCCCCTAAATATAAAAGTATACTTTGCAGAATTATAAGTTTTTTCTTTTCTGCACCATGTTTGTACTCTTCCTTTTGGGCATACCCTGTTTTAAGCAAGTCTAGTAAATGTAAATTCTTATTTACATCACACATAAATTAGTACGGGGGACTTGTTCCCTTTGAAACATATTTTCCTCAGATGCTGACTTCTGTTTAAGAGCATTTTTAATTATCTTATTTAAAACCCCCAAACAACAGTATCTTCTAGTAGTGTGCCCCTGAGACCCACCCATGGAGGGAAATAGTCTCAGGGGAGGTTGTAGGTGGGGTGGGCCCTGGGCCTCTTCTTGGGATGGTTAGATCTAGGCTGGGTGGCCACTGAGATGTGCCCTTCTCTCTGCAGGATTTGACACCAGCATCCTGCCCATCTGCAAGGACTCTCTGGGCTGGATGTTTAACAAGTTAGATATGAACTATGACCTCCTTCTTGACCACTCAGAGATCAATGCCATCTACCTGGATAAGTATGAGCCCTGTATCAAACCTCTCTTCAACTCCTGTGACTCATTCAAGGATGGCAAGCTCTCCAACAATGAGTGGTGCTACTGTTTCCAGAAGCCTGGAGGTAAGGCGGGAGAGAGGCGGGGTCCCAAGTTCAGGGCAGCCACACTGGGCAAGGAAGGCCCACATATCACATACTGGGGAGAGCCCTGGGTGGAGATCAGGCAGAAGAACACAAGTAGAGAGTAGAGCATTCATCTGATAATGGCAGACCCAAAGGCTCTTTTCTTCTATTTTATTTCCACTCTTCTCATGGTATATCAGAAAATTCAAGAGCATAATGGTAGAGTCCATTACTTCAGTCACCCTCTGGGACGATCTCCTGACCATATTGTGCCTCGATTTTTTCATCTGTCAAACGGGTGTCGGAACCTTTGCTATAGAATTCCCAAGGTCACTGTGAGAACCTTAATGTGAGAAATACTGTACAAATGTGAGAGTATCATAATTCCCGTTGTCACATGAGTTCTCCATGTTCCTCTTAGAGAAAGCCCCTTGTCCTTTTCTCTGGGATGAATACAGATTTATACTGAATCTTGTAGACAAGGAGATTTCGGTTATAAACTCCCACTAACTCCAGAAAGACGCAATATTTGAGGAATATGTGGAAAGAATACAGGAGTATCTCTAATTTGTTGCAAAGTCAGACAAGAGAGTCCACCTACAGACTCTCAGGAATCTAGGGGCAGGAGCCCTGAGTCTGCTGGAGAAGCCACATAGTCTAGCTTTGCTTCTTCTTCCTTAGCTTCCTGGGGTTGTGCCCAAGTGTGGCGCGCGACAGCTAGCAGACGCTGGCTTGTATTTGAATTCCATTCCCAAGTCCCAGGAAAATATGCCTCCGCCTGAATCAGGTATCATGGGCACTCTGCAGGCATGGCTGTCAGAACCTCTGCCCAGGAAAGGGAGATGGTTATGAGTATTAGAGTATTTAAATCATACATGTGTGTATGCCTGTGTGTATTCAGAATCGGTGCACCCCCAGAGCAGAAAATGTGGGCATTAAAAAAGGGCACGTGGTGTCGCGTTCATGTACATGTTTACAGGATTACAAGAGACATTCCTAAAAGAATTACTGGTCACAGGGCAGGTGCATTTTTAAATTTAAGCTGTATTTCCAATTTGCCTTCCAAAAACGTTGTACCCATGTTTACGCTCTCCAAGAATACCTAGTTCCCCACGGTGGAGCCAAAGCTTGTGGTCACTGCCAAGTTAAGGGACAAGCTGTTACATTTCCTCACGGGTCTCATTTCATTTCTCTTATTATAACTTAGATTGAACACCTTCGTGTTTGAGAAATTCCTTTTTTTTGTAATTTTTGGTATGTTTCTAGGAATTTTTTTTTCTCAATGAAGGACATTAGCACTGTTGAAGTCACATGTATTGCAAATATATTTTTCCCCAACTTTGACTTGGTCCATTTTTTTAGGAAGACACTTTTCAATTTAAGAGTGTAAAATTTCTCCATCTTTTATGGTTTTTTAGCAACCATAAGGCTTACATTAAGTCTAGAAAGGTAACGTGTACCTTTGGGTTCCTTAGGTAAAGGTACCAAATACCTTCAGTATTTGAAGGTGCATGATCCTCTTGTGTTTGTGTTTTCTTCAGCACATTTTGGTTGGTTGGTTGTTTATTGAAATCTTGTATCACTTTTGGTTTTTTTGGTGTATGGTCAGAGAGGGTCACAGCCCCTCTCCCCACTCCTGGAAATGGTTGTTCAGTTACGTTTTTGTCATGTATTGACTAACCTATCCTCCTCCTCTCATCTGAATGCTTCCTCTATTGTATATAATATTTCTTTATATTTATACGTCTCTTCTTCCATCTAGAATCCTTTTATTGTAGAACAGCATCTATCAACCAATGGAGTTATATTTTTTTAATGGTTTTTATTTATTTAGAGCGAGAGAGAGCATGCGCACACATGTGGGGGAGGGGCAGAGAGAATTCCAAGAGGGGTCTGCAATGTCAGCACAGAACCCATAGCAGGGCTCGAACCCAAAAACTGTGAGATCATGACCTGAGCCAAAATCAAGAGCTGGACGCCTAATTGAGCCATCCAGGGGCCCCTAGAGTTACATTAAGTTTTGTTCTCATAGATACTGTACTTCCTGTCTATTTATTGCCCTTGTAAAGGAAATTGATTTTTTTTTCCCATTATAGTTCCTCACTGCTGGTGGTTTCAGTATTAATCTTGTTCGCACCCACCTTACTAAATTCTCATTTTGTTTATAATAATTATTCTGGTTGGTTTCCTTTGATTTTTGAGGTGTGCAATCATAACCTCTGCAAATAGTGATAATTTTTTCTTTTTTCTTTTTATACCTCCTCTCTCTTTTCTAATCATATCAGCTAATACTTCAAATTTGTGTTAAATAATAGCCATGTTCTTACTTTAATAGAAATGCTTGGAGTGATTGAGTTCTAAGTTTAATGATAGCTTTGGGCTTGAGTCCATATAAAATCATGTAACCTTCAGCCAGGGTTCAGGCTTAGCCTAAGTAACCAAAGCCTCCGTGTTAGTGCTTCTTGGAGGTGTAATGCCAGGACCCTGAGCGTGAGGTTACTGCCTTTATCAAGGGACAGAGCTGGTCACCATGCTGTGTGGATGTCCCTGGATGTGCTGCCCTTTCAGCAACTGCTGAAGGAGGCCAGAACCCCATCACGTGGCACATTATGGTATCCAGGAGAAGTTGATCAAACTACAACAGAAGTCATTTTGTTATAGTTCATTTTTTTTTGTTACTCATTTTGTGTATTTCTCTCATTTTTTTTTTAAAAATTTTTTTTTCAATGTTTATTTATTTTTGGGACAGAGAAAGACAGAGCATGAACAGGGGAGGGGCAGAGAGAGAGGGAGACACAGAATCGGGAACAGGCTCCAGGCTCTGAGCCATCAGCCCAGAGCCCGACGCGGGGCTCGAACTCACGGTCCGCGAGATCGTGACCTGGCTGAAGTCGGACGCTTAACCGACTGCGCCACCCAGGCGCCCCCTCTCATTATTTTTTGTGGGAGAGAGAGAAACAGAGTGGCAGGTGGGGAAGGGACAGGGAGAGAGAGAATTCCAAGCAGGTTCCACACCCAGCACAGAGTCCTATATGGGGCTTGATCTCACGACACTGAGATCATGACCTGAGCCAAAATCAAGAGTCAGATGCTTAACTGATCCACCCAGGTGCGCCTCTCTCCTTTTCTTAAGTTAGGTTCTTTATTTTTGTTGGATTTCTACCACCTTCCTCCATGACCCAGAACCAGCCCTGGGAGTTCTGTTTGACCCCCACATTTCCTCATTTCCTTTTGATTAATGCATGTACTCAAGGCTAAAAGTTTTCTCCAAAGCACCCTTTTAGCTATAGACCATAGGTATTAGGTATGTAAGGATTTTTTTTTTTTTTTTTTTACTATGATTAATGTGTAGATGTCCTACAATAAAGGCTCTAAATGCCTCTTCGGTCCAAGAAAATTTTGAGAGAGCACTTGAAAATTTTCCATGTGGTAGGATTATTTATTGACTGGTTTCACTATTTTTGTTTAGTATTACGTTTGAGTTTTTGAAGTTTCTTCAAAAATTCTCACTGGAATTGGGGCGCCTGGGTGGCGCAGTCGGTTAAGCGTCCGACTTCAGCCAGGTCACGATCTCACGGTCCGTGAGTTCGAGCCCCGCGTCAGGCTCTGGGCTGATGGCTCAGAGCCTGGAGCCTGCTTCCGATTCTGTGTCTCCCTCTCTCTCTGCCCCTCCCCCGTTCATGCTGTCTCTCTCTGTCCCAAAAATAAATAAACGTTGAAAAAAAAATAAAAAAAAAAATTCTCACTGGAATTGTATTCCTTGAGTTAGCACTTGAGTATCTGTAAATATTGGTATTTTCTTTATACAAAAACAAAGATGCCAAGATTAAACTTACTCTCCTAGTACTGGGTTTAGCTATAGAATAATATGAACTCATACTAATTTTTGTTCCCCTTTAAGGAGATGAATTTCCTAGGACATGTCTTAGTTTTGCTCAGTTCATAACACTTTCCTGAGATATGTCATGCATGTTTTTAAATTTTTTTAAATATTTTATTTATTTTTTTAAGACAGAGACAGAGCATGAATGGGGATGGGGCAGAGAGAGAGGGAGACACAGAATTCGAAGCAGGCTCCAGGCTCTGAGCTGTCAGCACGGAGCTTGATGCGGGGCTTGAACTCACGAACCGTGAGATCATGACCTGAGCTGAAGTCGGATGCTTACCGACTGCGCCACCCAGGCACCCCTATGTCATGCATTTTTGAGCTCTGGAATTAAACATTTGGTTCCATTTGATTAGTGTCTGCTCAGGAGCATCAGTTATATACATGTTGCACATCAGTTTTGTTGCTTCAGATACAGCCTTCCTTTATTTGTTTAATTTTCTTCTGTGTCGCTTATGTCTTTGAGCCTTTGTATCTGCATTGAACTGGAGTGTCCTTTTTGTGTGGTGATTCTTTTTTTTTTTTCAAGTGGACTCTACACCCAGCATGGAGCCCAGTGAGGGGCCGCAACAGACATGAGCTGAGATCAAGAGTCAGACCCTTAACCGACTGAGGCGCCCCAAGTGTCTTTTTCATTAGAGCCCTTGACTACTTAAGTCTTGGGTAACTATTTTCATTTGCTCAGAAGCCAGCGTTTTCTGTTAGAATTCTTCATGTGTAGTTGGGTTTTCTTGCAGTACTTTTTAGTAGGTCTCAACCTGATTCATGTTTCCTTGCTGGAAGAGAAGTAAAATTTTTACAATTACCATCGGACCATTTGAGGAACTCCCTGACACAGTGTTTCTATGTATGTGGGCAAATTTTGCATTCTTCAGGAACAGTCTTCTAAATGCCTACGGTTTTTGCACAAAGATGAGCTTTCCCGTGGTAAAATAGGAAGAATATTGGTCCCTACTTTATAGGATTGTTGTAAAGATGAAGACAAAATTCTAGAACATCGTCTGGTACATTCTAAGAATTCACTAAGTGCCCCTTATTTGTCATAGTAAATGCTTTACTTCATCAAACATGGAATCTGTTTCCCTTTTTCTTTGTTGTTTTCAGTTGGTATCTTTCTCCTGCACTCTGAAAGCACCTTAAACCCAGGGGTGAATAAAGCGTATTAGTTTTTCTTAAGGAATCAGCAACAAGACCGGGTGGCATCGTGCACTCCACAGGGTAAAAGATGTTAAGAAGGTGGTCAGGTACTTACGCTATTTCTTTCCAAGCAAGTCTGGGGCCTGTAGTAAATGTTCTGAGACTCAGAATACTTCTGCCCTTGGCTCGAGGCCCATGAGCACGTATCAGAGTCTTCCAGAGCCATGCGGTCTGCCAAGGCAAGTCACGGCGACTCAAGAACTGGTGAAGCCATCTTTCTTTAGGCTTGGAATGGAATAAGTTCTTCTCTTAGGAGACAGAACTGCACACTGTCATAGGCCCTCATTGGCCATGCAGCAACCACTCTATCAGTCCTTCCCTTGAGAACTGAGTTTTGTGCTCATTCATGGCAACAGGTGTTTTATCATTGGGGACCTGGAGGCTCAGAGTTAACGTTTCACTTTTCTATTCTCACTGCTACTCTCTATCTCTTACATAGCTTCAAAGTTTGTATAATTTTACAGTTGTTCCTTGAGGCCTATGTAAGTCTGAAGTAGCTATTCTCATCCTCTTTCTCTCCTGTAGCAAGACCTGGGTTAGATTAAGTATTGGTCAGTTGCTCCCATCTGTGGATTCGGAACACTTAACCATGAGGATGCTGTGATCCTCGTTCTCAGCTGATTAAAATGTCTATTACCAGATTACCTAGAAGCACTTGGCATTTGCCTGAGTTGGTGGCAGGAAGAACAATTACTATACAATGCAAGTAGCCCCCAAATACTATTTAAGTACCTCATGATGTAAGGGTTTTTCTTTTGTTTTTTTTTTTTTTTTGATTAGTAACACTAATGGCCTGAATTTGTTGTGCTGTTTAATAACAGCATATGGAGTCATTCCAGTCCCAGGTGTGTCATTGTGTACATTTCACTTCATGAGTGAAGCCAATCATTAGAGATTATGTCCTGCACCATCTGGAAACTGACTTTCATAAATTATTTTCCAGGTCTCCCTTGCCAGAATGAAATGAACAGGATCCAGAAGCTGAGCAAGGGGAAGAGCCTGTTGGGTAAGTACAATTTCTTGTCACTCGTTTGAACAACTAATTAAACCAACCATGTCTCGTGTAATGTTGAGCCACAGCAATGGTTATTCCATTAGGTAACAGTGTTTCCTGAAAGAAATGCCTCGCTTCATTCCCAGACAGCTGGCTGGACGTAGTCTGAGGATAGGCGAGCTGTTGAGAAATGGACTGCCCACTAGTCCATTAGCCCAGGACTAGTGGGCAGGGCTGCAAGGGTGGGAATCCAACACCGTCTCTACTGCCCGCTCCTCCCTTACTTGGGGCTCCAGTAAACCTCGGCTTTCTCTTCTCTCAAGAATCTTTCTTGAATGGAGCATGAAAGTGTTCCTTCCTAGTTCAAGCGGTAACGTCTATGAATTATTCCCCAAATTGTCCATTCAGGGAAGAAGATGAGCTGTAGCCTCTTCTATATTTATCAGATCGGGTTCAAAGGCTTGGGTGTGCTTAAATGTGTTTTTTTGGATTCATGTGCATAATAATCCCTGGAGGAAAGCATAAATCTGTTTAAATAGTGCACATTTCTCCTCTCTGTCTGTTAACTGTGCTTTTCCCTGACATGCCCGTCTGTGGCTGGAGGTAAAGGTAACAAATGCTGGCTTGTTGAAGTGTTCCCTTTCAGCTGCATATCCTCTTTCTCCAGCACTAAGGGGTGGTCACGGCATTCAGACCAGGCCATTGCAGAGACTGGTAAACCTCATATATTTGTCAAAAAAGGAGTCTGGGTTGGTTTACTTGCTTTTTAAAAAGAGAGCTGACAGCGGCAATAGAATACACAATTTTTCTTGTTAAGCATTAAGAAGCAGGTGCATCCCTTAAGCGGCTTGCCATTTCAAACATGCACCTGTGTACTTGAAGAAATGGGCAAGTTTTGTTTTGTTTTGATTTTACAGATTGTCTAAGTAGTCCGTGAATTCGGGTAGTTTCTCCTCTACTGATTTTTGGGTTGCCTCAGACCTCCCACTTCTGATAATGCCCCGTTCGACTCAGGAAGAACCCCAAAGTTGTGACTTTGACTTATGTGGACCTAGGTTCTAAAAAGACAAAGGTATCATTAATGATACCTCAATAATGAATGAGACATTTATAAGGCATGTAGTCTGAGATAAAACGTCTCATCTTCCATTTTCCCTAGCTCACACCAATGAAACGCCTACCTTTGTCCTACCTTGAATCTCACCTAGTTTTCAAGCTTGCTTTATCACATCTCCCCACATAGAGAGATTACTCTGGCTGACTCATAAAAATACCATTGACCTTCTTACACATCATTTCCTGCATGGGGATATCTCCTAATGTGTTTTCACGGGCATTCAAATGAAAAACAAAATAGACCATACATCGTGGAGTATAAATAATCAAAAGTGAAATTAAAACTACTTTTAGGATTGAATGAAAATGAGGTTTGTGGGCCGAAATCAGAGGGAAGCAACTAAAAACTTAGAGGAATATTCACAGCTTCAAATGCATTTATGAAAAAACAAACACTAACTTTTCAAGTCAAAAAATGACCAAGACTAAAGTAGAAAACTTCAGTATGTATTGGAATCACTTGGAGTGTTTACTAAAGCACAGTTTCTGATTCAGTAGATCTGGGTGGGATAGGGCCCAAGTACATGCTTTTCTAAGATGTTTCCAGGTAATGATGCAGGTGCTGGTCCTGGGACCACACTTTGACAACCACTGCTATAAGCTCACTTACAGAATCTTGAAAACCTTGTTGAAACAAGTACTGTGAGTTACGGAAGAGAAGCAGAAGACCCACCTGTATGAAAAACCATGAAATTCATGAAAATCAAAATGCTAACCTCAACGCCCCCCAAAAGAGGCCCAAAATATTTTTATGAGTAAGTCTTTCACAGAAGAAAATGTATTCAATATGTCTAGAGGAGGCAAAGAAAAACACCTGAATCATTTCATGAATTGGGTGCCATGATAAAAAAAGGAGAAGAAATAGAGGCATATAGTTTTATCACTTAGTGAATTACCTAGTAACACAGATGCAAAGGGATCAGTAAATTCAGTCAGTAGTATTCCAATAACAATGTATCATGGCCAAGTAGTATTTACTCCAGGAAAACAATATCCCAATTACTAGTAAGGAGATTGAATTACTAATCAAAAATATCCCCAAAAAGAAAAGCCCAGGACCAAATGGCTTCACTGGTGAATTTTAGTGAACATTTAAAGAATTAACACCACCACCCCTTCTTCAACTCTTCCAAAAAAGATCAAAGAAGAGGAAACACTCCCAAGCTCATTTTTGAGGCCAGCATTATCCCAATGGCAAAATCAGAAAGGACCCTACAAGAAAAAAACAGGCCAGTATCTTAAATACACATACAAAAGTTCCCAACAAAATACTAGTAAACCAAATTCAACAGTGCATTAAAAGGATCAAATGGGATTTAATGCAGCAATGCAAGGATGGTTCAAAATACACAAAACAACCAATATGATATATTAATACAAGGTGGTATCTGAATAGATGCAGAAAATTCACTTGACAAAATCCAGCATCCATTCATGGTTTTTAAAAACTCTCCACAAATTAGGTATAAAAGGAACAAACCTCAACATAATAAATGCCACATAAGACAACCAACATCATATTCAACAGTGAAAGGTTGAAATCTTTTCCTCTAATATCAGAAACGAGACAAAGTGGGCACTCTTACCACTCCTATTCAACATACTACTGGAAGTCCTATGCAGCACAGTCAGTCAAGAAAAAGAAACAAAAGGCATCCAAGTTGGAAACAAGTACAATTTTCCTTGTTTGCAGATATGTTTCAGCCAAGGAGGGGAAAGATGTATATACTGAAAACTATATGATGCTGATGAAAGAAATCAAAGACAACACAAATAAATGGAAAGGAATCCCATGTTCATGGAGTGGAAGAATTAATATTGTTAAAATGTCCATATCACCCAAAACCATCTACAATTTAATTGCTATCCCTATCAAAAGTCCACTGGTATGTTCTGCAGAGATAGAAATAACAATCCTAAAATTCATATGGAATCACAAAAGACCCCAGATAGCCAAAGCAATCCTAAGAACAAAGTAGGAGACATTACACTTGCTGATTCCAAGCTACGTTATGAAGCTGTAATCATCAAAGCAGCATGATGGCATAATAACAGACACAAAGATCAAGGGAACCAAAAATAAACACAAGTGTATAGGTCTACTATTAGTCTCTTTAATAAATGGTGCTTGGAAGATTGAATATTCACATGTAAAAGACTGAAACTAGATCTCTATCTTATACCCCTCACAAAAATTAACTCAAAATGGATTAAAGACTTAAATGCAAGACTGGAAACCATAAAACTCCTAGAAGAAAACATAGGGGAAAAAGCTTCTTGACATGAGCCTCAGCAATCATATTTTTTATAGGACACCTGAAGCACGAGCCACTAAATTAAAAAAAAAAAAAAAGTGGGACTACGTCAAACTTAAAAGCTTCTGCACAGCGAAATTATCAGAAAACCTACAGAATGAGGAGTAACATTTGCAAACCATATATCTGATAAGGGATTAATACCCAAAATGTATAAAGAACTCAACTCAGTAGGAAAACAAACCAAAAACCTGATTTAAAGATGGGTAGAAAATCTATATAGACATCATTCTAAAGAAAACATACAGATGGCCAACAGGTACGTGAAAAGATGCTCAACGTTATTAATCATCAGGGAAATGCTTATCAAAACCACAGTGAGATATCACCTCACACCTGTTAGAATGGCTGTCATCAAAATGACCAGACACAACAAGTGCTAGTAAGGACATGGGGAAAGGGAAGCATTGTGCGCTGATGGTGGAAATGTAAATTGGTCCAGCCGCTAGGGAAAGCAGTATGGAGGTTCATCAAAAATTTTAAAATAGTTCTGCCATACAGTCCAGCAATTCAACTTGTCAGAATATATCCCAAGGAAATGACATTCTGTCGAAGAGATATATGTACCCTTATGTTCACTTCAGCATTATTTATAGTAGCCAAGATACAGAAACAACAGAGGTGTCCATCAACGGATTACTGAATAAAGACATTATTGGTGCGTGTGTATACACAATAGAATATTGTATACCATAAGAGAAGGAAGTCTTGCCCATTGTGACAACACAGATGGACCCTGAAGAAATTATGCTAAGTGAAGTCAGTCAGACAAATACTGTATGATCTCACCTATCTGTGGAATCTAAAAATCTCAGGGGCACCAGGGTGGCTCAGTCGGTTAAGCGTCTTTGGCTCAGGTCATGATCTTGTGATTCCGTGAGTTCCAGCCCCACACTGGGTTCTCTGCTGTCAGAGGCTGAAGTGGGCTCCACACTGTCTCTGCCCTTCCCCTGTTCACTTATACACACGTTCTCTCTCTCTCTAAAAATAAACCAAAAAAGTTTACAACAAAAACTCATAGAAAAAGACATCAGGCTGGTAGTCCCCAGCAGTAGGGAGTAGAGAGGGGGGGAACTGGAGAAAGGTGATCAAAAGGTACAAACTTCCAGTTGAAAGGCATATAAGTACTAGGAATTTAATGTACAGCATGAGGACTCTAGTCAACTTTGCTGTGTGGTACATAGGAAAGTTGTTAATAGTAAATCCTAAGAGTTCTCATCACAAGGGAAACGCATCTTTTTTTTTTTTTTTAAATCATTGAGATGATGGATGTTAAGTAAACTTACAGTGGTAATCATGTCCCAGCATATGTGATTTAGGGGGGAAACATAAGAACCCATCAAAGAAGGGATCCTGTCTAACCTTGAGCAGACCCAGGGACTTGTCATCTTGAGTAAGTAATAACCAACGGCCCCATTCTCCCCTGCTAGCTGTGCAAGAAGTAGCCGGTCTGATAGGTTAGCCCTCTTCTCCGTCTTGGAGGGCATCGCCCCCGAGTATCAGGGCACCTCTGATTCAAATTGGACCTTTTATTCCCTCAGGAGCATTCATACCTCGGTGTAATGAGGAGGGCTATTACAAAGCCACACAGTGCCACGGGAGCACAGGACAGTGCTGGTGTGTGGATAAATACGGAAACGAGCTGGCTGGCTCCAGGAAACAGGGCACTGTGAGCTGTGGTGAGTAAGGTGTTCCTGCATCAGCCCCACCATGACGGCTTGCACGTCCTGACTGAATAAAGCCCTGGGCAGGGAAATTTCAAGACCTATCCGTGGTCTACAGCGAACAAGCTTACAATGGTGACGTGAATAAAGCACACTTGATTATGCGTAGCTAGCTTCCGGAGTGGCAGGGACTCACCATGAGCAGGAGATTGGGTAACATTTTGTAACAGTCAGGAACTGTCGCAGGCAGAGAGGGACTTCGATAAACCGCCCACAGTTCTACCCCAGAAGGTAGAAGCATCTCAAGAATTCTGGGGTCCCCAAAGCCTGTGGTCCCTCCAGGCTGGGAGGCCCCAGTATTCAGAGAGTGAATTGCATGGTTTTTCCCTACAGTTGAGTCACATGCGAAGGAACCATTCTTATGGTCATAAGGTATAAAGAGAAACTAATCCTCCATCTTGTCTTCCTTCTTAATATTTCAGAAGAGGAGCAGGAAACGTCAGGAGATTTTGGCAGTGGTGGCTCTGTGGTCCTGCTAGATGACCTGGAGGATGAACGGGAGCTGGGACCAAAGGACAGATTGGGCAAGCTGAGGGTGCACACCCGGGCAGTGACAGAGGATGATGAGGATGAGGATGACGACAAAGAGGACGAGGTCGGGTATATATGGTAGTCCCCACTGGGAAGAGGACACGAGGTGCACACAGAATTGCAAGTCACTTCCTACTCCTGCGTTTGTATCTCATAAGACTCCGCAGCACCAAGGCCTCTTCTCCATTGTTGCTCTCTGTACCCGACCCGAGGTTTGGGAGACCACTTCTTGTCCCCAGAGCATTCTGGTTTTGCATACGCTTGTGTGGGAAGAAGGGTGTTGTGTTTTGTTTTTTAGACGGGGAATGGCTGGCTGAATTCGAGCCCCCTTCCCTCCCATGAGATTTTTGCAACAAGCATGTGATTTATGTGGGATTCTGACAGTGCAGGGAGCCCCCACCTTGTAAACGTCAAAGATGCTTTTTGATTACCCACACCAGTGGTTATTCCAGCATGGTTCCCGGCCTTACGGTGTCTAAGTGCTTTTCTTGTGTCCTGTAGATGTCGTGGAAAACACACCACACTGTACTTTTTTTCCCCCCTAGCCCCACCACCCCGGCTGTTAATAACTAAAAATTAGTTTTCATATCACTCTATCTGGCTTCCTACAAACAAGAGCCTTAATTCAGTCAAGAGTTCCTCTGGGGAATTGATTTCCTTAATAAAAAATGGTGTCTGGACGCTTCTCTCTGTACATGCTTGAATATGTACAGAACAGACTGTACGTGTACAAGGTGCACACACACACCTCTCAGAAAAAAGTGTTTCAAGATCCTCTAAAAACTCATCTGAAAAACAATTCTAGATTTGTCAGCCTGTCCAGACCTGGATCACAATTTCTGGAATAAGAAATTTGTATCAAAGTCCTTTTTTTGCACTAACAGCACTTGCAGCCTGCAGGCTGAGGATGCTCCTTCCCCTATGCATTAGCAGAGTTCCTGGAAGCCCTTTGATTTGGATAAGCCTCTGTCCGCCTAAATCACTTTTCTTGCAGAAGCCATGAGACTCCCACATGGGCAGCTTCACAAGCCATCTCTTTCATTTCAGCTCCAAGCCCACCCCGGGCTGCAGCAATCCTGTCCGCCACAGGTTCTCACCTTCCCTACCTACGCAAGGGCTTTTTCCAAGGCACGTCTCCAGATCATATCCCCTGCTCTCCGAGAAGACAATACCACAGTGTTCCTTAGCAGAAGAAAATTCCGGATTCTTAATCTAAGGTTTTGCTTTTGCCCCATTTCTATCCACAGATCATAATGAGGGTCCACGAACTGTACAGATTTTATACCACCACTCATCCTTTGTAAAAAATCCCAGACGGAGGCCAAAAAGAACTTCATCGTAGCACAGAGAAGCTAGGGTTGGATTTTTACCGGCTAGTCCTGTCCCCATCACCTCACCTGCACCAATGTCAAGAAACCAGTGAAGAAGGCCCTTCATCAGTGTTTCTTTTCCCGAAGTAAGTTCACGATTAGAGTCTGTCTCCAAATTTGGTAGGGTTATTATCTCTATCGTTTTTAGAATTTCTGACCCTATCAAAGCTGACTCAGATACAAAGTACCAAAGAATAGTCCTCAAGTGGTCCCATTTAGCTCAGTACCAGCCCTTAAGCTCCTGCTCCACCTGGTTTCCAGCTTCCTGGACACCCTCATCAGCCACCCAGCAAGGCTTTCTGGCCCACATTTTTTTTTTGTTGTTTGTTTTCGTTCATCATGAATTCCAGCCCATCCACAAGACAACCACATAAAACTCAGGCAAAAAAACACTTTGTACTCTGTCAACCCGCCTCAAACCAGCATTTTCCAATCCTAGCATTGGCCAAAGTGGCATCATCTCTAGAGTTAGTCTCAGATGGGAAATGAACATACTTGATACAATAAACTTCTTTGGCCTAATATACACGGGTACAACCAGGACTGTAGGTATAGAGAGGCCAGAGGCAAGCTCTGTATTGGGATTTCAACTGCATCATCCCTGTTTCAATTTTTTTTTTCTCACTTGAACAAAACACCAAGATCATAATTTAGAAAACAGGTGTTTAATTGCAGCTAAATTATAATAGAGTATATAAAAGAATCAAGACATTAAAAAAAAAAATCTCAGTTTACACCATCAGAGAAAACCATTGTTACTGTCTCTCTGAGCTTGGAAAAATGCACAAGAGAACAAATTAAAATCGACTAACTGATTTCACTTAGAGAAACTTCGAGGAACAGAGAACCACCGATTTTAATTTGCCTAATTATCTTATGACAAGTGTCAAAATAAGATGACACTTAAAGATTCTTAGCATTCACTTAATGATGGAGAAGAGTGTGCTCTGTAGTCAGTTCCCAGTAAGCTAACGAGATGCTCATTTTCAAAGATATTCCAAGAAGATATTTTGACTCATTAAGATATTAAATAAAAAGCCCTCCTAAGACCAGAAACCCAAAATCAATGGACCAACCGACATTAACACCACTTTTCGTGCCTCAACTTTGGCATGACATCACTGGATTTTTAAAGGGCTTTAGTACAATTTTTAGAAACTTTACCCTTAGAAGTGAAATTTTTGATTTCTTCCTTTTGGGCAGGAGCATTTTTGCTAGCAACTAAGAATACATAAGAATGTTGATTAAAAAAAATAATACCATGATAATCGATTACCTTTTTTTGAGACAGTTCATGAACTGAATCCTCACCGACTCATTTTTGGAAACTCTAGTAAATAGTTTTATTCTTATTCCATAAATGGTTCTCTTATTTAATACCGTTTCCTCGGCATCCAACTTAAACCCCAGAATTTTCTTCCACCATAATTAGTTGTCTGCCATATTAATGTCTTTTTGTTTCTGCAGATATTCTAGGCATGGGAATACCTTGATATTCAATCTGAGGTTTTGTTATCAGTTTCCCCTTCTTTATGCCCATTTCCCCACGCCCAGCAGTGAATGCCTACGTGTCTGTCCAGGTCTGCCCCTCTACTTTTCCCAGAATGCAATTCACATTTGTTTTGTTTTCATTTTTTACCTTGACCACATTGTACAGTAACATCTAAGAGCCCTTTCTACAGTGGGTGGTTTTGGTCTTTTTATACCTTTTTCTCAAAGTCACTGATGTTTGTCCCTGTTCAATGTGTAGCATTGTAATGAGAGCCCACCAAATCCTGAGTGTCATTTTGTTGTCCCTATTGTAGATGAAATAGTGATGTAGAAAAATCTAGTAAATTCTGAATGCTTTTCCACGTAGACTTATCTGGAATGTGAACACGACTCTTTGGTTAATAGTAAATGCTTTAACTGTAGTCCTAAGTAGGTGCATTTCCGTCTGTCTCAATAAATTTTAATTTGTCTGCAACATCTGAATGTATTTGTATTTTCTTATCTTGCATGTGAACTCACCTGGCTATGTCCACACCCGCTCTCCGGAGAACAAACAGTAGGGGCAAAGGGGACTGCCAATGCCGACCTCTCCTGTGCTTCTGTACATGGCAGGGAAGAATACCTGCTGTGGTCAAGCCTGTCCTGGCCCCTCTCAGCACAATCTGTGTCCACTCAGTCTAGAACACCTAACCCTTATTTTTGCTGCTTCCACCTATTCTACGCTTTACCTTTGTTACATAGTTTTGACCTATCGGATTTCAGTGTTGTCTTCCTGTTTACAACCTTAAGCTTTTCCAGTTCTGCCTATTCCTTCCCTCCCCTGTCAGTTCTTCTCCAATTCTCCTGAAACTAAAACACAAACAACAACAACAACAACAAAAAAAAAACAACCCAGTCTCCTTTACAGGGAATTCTGAGTTCTCCACAGTTCATGGATTAACCCACCAGAGGCTCGTCAAACATCAGAAAGCACCCAAATTGGAACAGGAATTTCCTTTCCACCTTTATCCACATTCAGGCCAGTGTGTCTATGACTTAATTATACCCTGAGTAATTTCACCCTGAGCTGAGGTAGAAACTACCTTATGAATAATTCCATTCCTTTACCCCACGGACTAGATTTTACAGACAATTTGTAGATTGACAGTTCAGGGAAAGGCGCTTCATAAATCCACAAAATAACTAATGTCAGGAGAACAATGACCAATATGAATACTCTAGGGGTGTTACAGGATACAGCAAAGAGATGTTGGCATTCATGGACACACTCCAAATTCATCTCAAATCAGCACAGTTGTGCAGGTCAAATATCACCTTGCTCCTCCAGCTGTGACTTCACAGATGCCACCTTGGTTCATTTAAAGGGCAGGACCAAAGGAATGAGAACTAGAAGCCAGTGTCCAGCTTTGGTGATACAGGTAAGCCAAAAGGTCACAGCACCTTCTCGCAATGCTTACCCACTTGTAAGATTTGCTTTGACAAATTGATTCAAGGAAAGAGGAAGATTTTAAGATGTATTCACTCAACGGATCTTTACAGATTTATTTATAGATTTTTAGATGAATAGATGTTGTATTGACGAATGCCACTGGAGGCTGGCACCACATTCAGTTCTAGGAATACAAGTGTGAATAAAACCTGATTGCTCTGTGAACTTAACTTGACATGCTTTCTCTGGACACTATTTTGTTTGCCGTTGGTTTCAACCACCTCCTGTACTCTGAGGAACCCCCAATCCGTATCTTGAGTGTGTGTTTTGACCGCCCCTCCATTCTTAGACATCGCTTTCCATTTACATAATTCTAGAATTTCCCACTGATAACTTAAAAAATGAAAAAGGTGAGATGAAATGGAGCGGTTATGCCCATGACAACAAGAGTCAGCAAGGCTGTTCTAACAAACCTGAGCCATAAAGGACGAGATTGATACATTTTTTCCATCCAAATTAACAACATCATAAACAAACTGGCAAGATAAACAAGAGACTAAGGAAGATACCGGTGACATAAAACAGATGAAGGATTAGGATATAAATATTTTTTGACTCCTAAATCCCTAAGCCAAAGGTCCAACAGACTAATGGAGAAACGATGAAAACAAGGAATTCACAGAAGACAGACAAATGGCAAGGGAACCATGCCTAACCTCACGGATGATCAGAGAAACAAAGCCATGATCTATCATTTTTCACTTTAAAAAGCCATGTTACATCGGGGCGTCT